AAAGGTTGAAAAAGCGGCTGGTACAGAGAGGATTGCCGTCCCACAAGGGAGAGAAAACAGACTGCCAACCCCGCAACGTTGCGATCTACCACTGCACGTGCGGCGGGGGATAAATTGAAGAGGAAAGCAAGACACATGTGGTGGCAAAATAAGAGAGAGGCTGAGATGCATGAGAACAGAGAGTTTGAGAAGCTAGCCGGCGAATGCTCGAAAATTTTACGATATACCAAAGGTTTCAAGACCGGAGCAAACTCTTGTAGGATTCACAGTGGTAATATTGGTACCGATGCCCAGAGTATACTGAATTTATGGAGGAAGCACTTCCCCAGCCCTTTCAATGGCAGCGAGAGTGGAACAGCAGGAGAAGGCGAACCCGGTTCTCCAATCGATGACGATAAAACAGATGTTTCATTGTGAGAATGTGAAGAAGTTCGAATAACAATCACCCGAACCTAAGTGTGCTCTGCCCAATCCATAAAAACTGAGACCTTACGATGTGCGCCATTTACCATGGAGTATGTGAGTCTACTCAATATCATATAAGGTCCTATCGAGCGTAATGTGTGAAAGGCTAACAGACTGATTGGACCTTATCATTCTTGCTTAAACCTGATAAATCCACAATGACTTTTGTTTTCTTGTGAAAAGGAGGTAGATCTGATATGTCGGTGTTGGAGGATTTAAAAAAATAAGTTTTACCTTGGATTTATGGTCCTCTTCGCATTGACAACGGCGGATACCGCAGCCGATGTAACCATGAGCTGCATGAAATATACGTCGACATTGGTATAGTTCAGCGAATTAAGAGATAACAACTACATTAGCTTGTTCATGTTGACCGAATGTATGAAAACACATCAGTTCTGAAAGTCTTCGATGCAATAGCCGCCGGTGGGAGCAGTGGGAAACGAAACCTGCCACTACGTTGAAAAAATGGGCACAGAACGACCGGGCATCACTTAGTGAACAAACACTTGCCGTACTACGTCGGAAAGCTAGTCAATCACGTTTCAATACACGCGATATACCTCCGGTGTAATAAAAATTGTCAACATTCTTATACAATATATGCATTGCAGCTTAATCTAAAACATCTTCACTACTTTGGTAAGGCATATTTTCAAAAGTTTGCTTTGTGCGAAAAGATAAATGGTAGCCAAGGTTTTAATCATTCTCATAAAAAAACATCACAAATATTGATGTCTAATATACGAGGAAGCGTTTTCATGTTCGCAGAATGGGGGACAACGGGTGGAAATAGAAAAACCAAATTATTTTTCCCTTCCATACATTTTCACCTGTATGATGGACACATTTTTCAGGACTTTCAATTAATTCATTTATACCCTCATTAAAATTGTTTTTCTCTATATTCCAAATATGCCGAAATGGCCTCCTTTTGACTTCATCCACCCTTAGCTCATTTTTCAGTTTTAGAACCAGGTAATAATCAATCGGCGCCAAACTTCCTGTAGAGTGGATGGCCGAAGCTCACCTTAAGCAGTCTTAGTCTTCAAGGGATTCCCTTACTTGTTTAAATAAACTGTGCCACTTGAATATTATATTTTTTCGCGGATAAAAGTCGCCGTAAGCCAATGACACCTTAATCATTTCCGCTGCAACTCCTCACTTCCAAATATATGGCTTAGTAGACGATAGCTCAAAGACTACTTATTGTATACAATAACAATCAAACCTCGTAATATATTGTACTGATTATGAGCCACTGAACGCGTTAGTATCCTAATGAGTCTGATCACTCCGCTGCAACCCTTTCATTCCTCGAACATAAAAACGCTCCCTCCAAAATACTACAAACTGAACACTCACCCTTTTGTGGCTGTGGCTGTGTTTTTGTTCCCATTATGATTGAACTCGCTTCCAGGAACGCTTTAGACCAAATCGTGGTTTATACGAGCACTTCCGCGTAGATTTAGCAGATAAAACGCGTTTTTAACATTCATATAAATATTTCGTAGGTAAAAATAAGTGCACTTTTGTCAAGATGATTATTTATTAATTAATAATATTGTCTATTACTAGAAACTTGTAAATTACCGCCACTTTCTTGCTTATCTTCTTTTTATTATTTTTATAGTTTTTTTTTATTTTCTTCTTTTTTTGTTTTTCTTATCTTAAATATTAATTTAGCACTTCTATTTATCTAATTATTCTTATTATTACTTTCATTGGATTATTCTCAGGTAGAAAGTTTACATTTTATTCACTTATTACAACAACTATTTGATTAACAAATGCCACTTGTGGTCGATGAGGAGGTGCGTACGAGTAGCAAACAAAAACGCTAGTCAATCTTTCCGGGCGGTCTAGATTTGGACGGTGGCGCTCTTCTGCGTTTTCGTATTATCGGTGGAGCCCAATGTGGAGGCCACGTAAAGTGGTTATCCATGTGATTGGCTAAAGGATGAATGTCGTCTGAAAAACAAAAATGAAAATTTAAATTGAAATATGTAGATGGAGAGATTGAAATCGACATTGAAATTCAACTAAGCCCAAGAGTTCCAAAGGCATTTTGAGAACTATTATATTATACATATATGGGATCATTCATTTCGCGGATTAGAAAATAAATGTAAATAAAATTCAATTCAAATATCTCATTATCAAATCTCGAGGGCTCAAGAGTTAAAAGTCTATCCGCATAAGCACGGATGATATCACCAAGACGAAGGATTCCATCGCGAAAACTTCTCAAGCAATTCAAAACCGGTTATTATACGACCACACCGTTCCCAATTGATAGTGATAGACACATCGAAGTCGGACCTCTTTTGGCCTCTGTTTAATTATTTGAGGATTCTGGGAGCCCCAAATTCGAAAATTTTGCTATGTAAGAAATGCTCCGTGCAATTGAAGAAAGTTTTGTTCGAAAGAATCTTCCACTGCTTGCTGTTCGAGCACCCAATCGACTTATGTATGGCGTTATGAATGGTTGGCTTCAGTTGTTGTATGAGCTGGACCTTATATGGATGTAGGTGTAAGTCCAAGTGCAAGTACGTCCTACAACGTCGAAAAATAGATACAGTAGTAATATATAGGTGAAACGAACAGGATCCAGTCCATTCAATTTTTTTTTTTACTTTTTCAATTGCTTGAGCAGTTAGACGATTATGTGCGCCATAATCTCTTCTAAGAGCACGGAACGTGGCCACGTTCAAATCACTATTTTTTAGTAGGTTGTTAAAAATATATCGCGTTGTGCAGTTAAGTGAACCATTTTTAAAACTGCCTATATTTTAACTGAAAAAGTCTCGTTGGGCAGAAGTACATAATACAGCACTTTAATTTTGAAACCACGAAATGGATAGCCCTATATGTGTAGATATAAATCAATTATAAATGAGTGGTGAGAATTGTATACCTCTCTGGTGTGATGGGGTGCTCTAAAACTTTGGTATGGGACAAACGCATGTGTCACAAAGAATGGCGCTGAGTAAGGAAAAATGTGGAAGAAAACAGCTGTGACAGGTGTTGCCCACGAAGTAATTTCTAATTCAAATTGCGATTAAAAATTAAAACTGAATTTGAAATTAAGAATATGTGAACATAATATTTTAATGTATGTATATATACAAAGCGGCGGCCGCCGTAGCCGAGTGGTTAGCATTGCCATTCGGAAGGCTCGGGTTCACAAAACATCCAAAAATTTAAATAAATCAAATCAAATCAAGCTAAGCAATCTAATTTTGGTCACACCTCGGCTGGGAATGTCAACATCTCCAAGTGTATTTCTGATTTCATGAAATAATGGCTCCTCATAAAAAACCATCAGCCTTTCGGAGGCGGCTTAGTATAATCCAGACGCAAAATAACAAATCGGAGGAGAAGCTCTGCCGAAAATCGCTTCAGCGGCATTTAATTCCTTATATTATACAATATATACGTGTATGTTTGTTCTCGATCACGTAGATTAGGTTAACTCACGATGGATGTGGTTGACCCATTTTGGGTAATGTTATACTTCAATAAACAATTGTGCAAGAACAACACGCGAAGCAAACATGAGTGAAATAGGACAGAGTTGCTTTGTTCAAATTTAGAAAAACGTCCAGCATTCACGAGAACTTCGAAGGATATTAAAGGCAACACCATCACACAAACGCTAACCTCTTTAACTGATATTATGCCCCGATGCAGCAGGCGGTCTACAAAATTATATCAGCTGTTTTGAGGTTACTGAAAGCTGTATGTCCCTTCATTTGTAGAAAAATAATGAAGATATGTACCATAGGTTGAAATAGGAACTCAGTCAGTTAAGTGAAGCCTAAACATATGTCACAATACCTTAATGTTGAAATAATTTAATATCATAATTATATCTGAAGCAAAATAAAAATGATTCATTCATTTATTACAGGATACTCTACATACGAAAATCTTACTAATAATATCATTGCATTGATCCTTGACTTTTGACAGACGTTGCGAAAAGTAATAGAATATTTAGAAAACTCAAAGCATCAAATTGATGCATTTCATCCTTATTGGATTTAAAACTATTTTTAAGAAAAAAAAATTGCAGGTATTTTTTAAATTAATTTATAATATGTTATTGAAATCAATATAAGGGTTTTCACCAATAAATGGAATCCAATTTGTTCAACATTTTTCAATAGGATGGAAAGATTGCAAGGAAATTCGATCGATTTTGCTCTTCAAGCGCTCCACTTTGCTGACTCATTACCACCGTACAACCTTGTTGTGCCTTATTTATGGACGCACTTTGCAGGCTATAATTTTTTTTTATGAACATATTTCGGGTTTTATTGATCCTTCAGAACTTCTTCTACAGATTACGCTCCAATTATCCCTTCAATACCAAAACATCTAATTCAAATTATTCTAAGAGAGAGCAGTAATAGTATTGAGTAAATTTGAACATTTAGACAGTAAGGTGTTGTAACCGTAGTAAAATAAAATGTGGTAACTTGTCGAAAAAATATTTATATTGTAATTTCTGGGTTTTAGGACCAAGCAAGAAATAGCAGAAAATTTTTCTGAAAAAAGTTAAGCAAAGACACGGCTAAATTTCAATTAATCCATCTAAATGCCGAAAAGAAGAGCCAAATCCAGTAAGAAATAAGCTAAAATGGTAACACTGGATAACTTAAACTTTATCATTCAAAAACTGCTACGATTTCAGGATTCCTCCACTAGAATGAAAACTAGGTGTTGGTGAGTGAGTCGAGTAAGTAGAAGATTTCTCTAGTGCATTATTAATTCTATTTTATTCGTTTATTTTCCAATTACTTATTCCATTTTAACCCTTTTGTGAACTTTTTGTAATCAAAACTATTGTATAACTATTTTAATTCCTTCTTTTCTCGCACCTCATTTTAGAATTTCTATTTAAAAAACAAAATTTTTTAATTATTATCTTAGACCTTTATAAGCAGATTTATGTAGTTCTTCATTGTCGAGTGTCAAGTAATTCAAATCAAATCCAAACTTTGCTGACTAATTGCGGGTTCAGCATAAAAGGCATGAGCATATGCTTTATATATTTGTAAATATGTAAGGTGAGATAAACAATACAACTTCTTATTCATTCAGATTGAAAATAATGTCGATTCATAGACTACTATACGTGTATGTATGTAAGCCTCATTTATATATGTATATATGTACATATATTGTACACATAATAATTGACGAGCTTTTCCATCGCTTCGCCTTCTCTGCTAATGGAGGGCCGACTACGAGCGATTGATAAATAAATTTTATTGAAAAGTGATGAGTTCGCCAGGGCTCGAACTTATGATGCTCGGCATAGTAACACTGTCCGAAATTCACTTGCCCGCAGCGGTCTCTATATGTGATATATGAAAAAACAACATTTTTATTTCCTAAAAACCTCGTCAGCAATTAATGTTTGTAACGATGTCACGAAAAACACTCTAAAAAAACAACCGTTATGATTTGCGCCAACTATGAGCTACGTTCTGCTCTACGTGTAGATGTTACATACATCGAATAGAAAAGTAATTATTTATAGTGCTGACACTCTTTTCTAAATTTCATGGAATTTTAATATTACCAATGTGTCAACACTTTAACGGTTAGATTTACTCTTTGTATCAACTGTATCAAAACACATGCAACTTTCTAATTATTTGAGGAAGAAACTAAAAACAGTTTCCTCCTCATATACTTCTTGGCATCTTCTGCAGTAAGACACTGTTCCTAAGCTAAGCCGTGTCTGTCTACATCACAGTTTTACCCGGTCAAGAGTTACCGTAAAGCAATGACATTCACTATGGTCGCAGCTGATTTGCCGTGGTAAGGCGTTTATAACGGCACGTTATAAATTGTTTCATTATTTTACTTTTTACTTAAACTAATTATAAGTCTCTGAACACGTTACGATCCTAACGCGCCTAATCACCCCCCTACAACCCTCTCATTCTGCGAACATAAAAACTCCCCTCGCACTTTCCCTCTTTATCAGAATCTAATTGTAAGATGGTGCCTAATCTGGCTAGATCATGTGCTCTGGAACCCTTTGCACGATTAAAGTAAAGTAGATTGTTAGTCCCACTAATAGGGCAAGATATTCCTTCACTTTTATTGAAGAGATCTTCAGAGACTTTAGTGATTGCAAAACGCTTAGCTTTGTTCTTAAATAAAAATATTTCTTGTTGTAGGCAAAGGACAGAACCAGAATGCCTTCCTTAATTGCAGTGAACTCCGCTTAGAAAAAACACTGCGGTGATCTGAGAGTCGAAAAACAATTCTGGTGACTAAATTTTCCGAAATGGCGCTTAATTCGGTGCCTTCGTCCATCTTAATGGTAAGACTTTTATGAATATCTCTTATTACAGGCATTCAGAAAGATCTCCAACCGAAATTCTTGCACTAAATTTTTATCAAAAGTATTATGAGGAAAAAATGCAGAAACAACCGCAACACAAATTTCCAGGAAAGATTATTATTTTAGCGATAGCATTGTAAGTTTTAATCGTAAAAATTTGTAAATAAAGCCACCCTTACATGGGTATTTACATATTTATATGAATATATGTAGTGCATAACGTGTAGGGAAATGGAATTACAAGTAAAAAGCGTTGATTTATTTGTTCATTAACTGTGTACGCAATGTTTAATCGCAATGGTGGAAGGAACGATATGTACATGGATTAATACATAGACATGTATAATGGCCATTTGATTGCCGTCCTTCTCCTTTAATTGCAGTTCCATTTTATACGCAGCAAGAAATTTATGCTAGCTACAGTGGTGTGTTGAGGAGGAGGAATGAGGCGATGAAAAAAAAGCAAAAATCAAATCCCATGCAATCAGGAACTAGAAAGAGAGATTCTAGAGATTTCAGATGTGATGAGTAGTTTTTGTAAATGTGAGAAGATCCTTCGAAGAATTTCAAAAAAAAAAAACATATATATATGTATAGTATATAATATAAATATTTTGTGCAATTACGGCTGTTTGTGCATTCAATAAGTAGCAACCGGAAAAACAATAATCGCAAACAGTAATGAACCGTACGAAATTAGAAGAAAAAATAATTATTTTGTCGTTTACGCGATTTAATTGCAGATATGAGCAAAAATAAATAAATAAAAACATTTTGAATGTTTCCAAATCATTAACTATAGCTATGATCAGTACCACTGATGTAGAGAGTAATTCATGAGGCCATATTGAAATTTAAAATATATTTTGAAAAAAAAGCAGCTTAACACGGCGAAAAATCTTTCAGTGTTAAAGTTTTATATCCGAGCACTTTGATCGAAAAAAAATCATTAAGTAATCTGAAAAAACCGAATATGTCGGCTCCACTGATGCTTCTTCTCCTTAAGGCATAACCTTTGGCTCCACACCGATTATTATTATTACTGCATTTCGCACAAGGCGAACCAAGACTCAGCGGCTACGCTGGTCAGGTCATGTGGTCAGGGTGAATAAGTATACTTAAGCTTTGGGATGGCCCGGTATAAAAGGGACTAAAGAAGAAGAAAAAGTAGCAAAATTATATGAGTTGCTTATCTCTTTCCAGAGTATTGTCGAATACGAGCAGTTATTCAGAGTGACAAATTGAACGGTTATTTTCGTAAATTCGTATCCATCATGTGAGGTATGAATTTGTGAAAAAGGAAAGTCATCATCACAAAACCCTTTACGAGTACCAAACAATTAAATTAAATGAGATTAAATCACCCTTCACTTATTTATATATTCCCTCTGTAATTGGAAATGTGAGAAGTTGTGGAATAATTTCTCAATTCGACGTACTTGTAATATAAAGTTTGTAAAGAAAAGGCAGGCGTTTCAGAATGTTGATGCAAAATATGGAAATGCCGTCGCCAATGCTTAGCCGGTCAGCCTTGCATTATAATTGAAAATAAAAATAAAAATTGTGTGTTACGTGTAGAATTTGTGGCGATGAATTGATTTTAATAACCTGAAAGCTGGTTTTAGATTAATTACTAAATTCTTATGCAATCGGCAGTGCATGCACATTAAAGCACGTTTGGATTTAGTTTCATTGGGTGACTAGTTTGGAATACATGCATACATATGTATATGGTTGTCTATTTTAGAAATACTTTTCTAGGGAGTATTTCGCAGCCTAAATCTACAACCTCTCCAAATTTAAATTCGATACCTTTCACAAAGGAGATCATCAAGTCTGATCGTCGTGCGATCGTTCGATTGCACAGAAGCCAAACGTAGGACAAAAATCTTCGAATCGATGCTAATCGGCCCACCGACTGGTAATGAAAAGCAACATCAAACGAAAACGGTCGTGGTCGTGGTCGTAGCCGAAGGGCTCAGGCGGGATTGGCAAGGAGTCATCGAACTCTTAATTTGGATCTGTAGTTTCAGCAATTGGACCGAATGAATGAAGCAATTGCCCAGCAAGTGTCCAGTCTATACGGTGTATTCGACAACGCTTGATCAGTAGTTGCAATCAACTACTTTAAAATTCGCCATCGGCAAAAGATTTGTAATTTTTTAAAGTGCAAAAAAAGTGCGGTAGATCGGGAAATTACATAAGAAATATGAAAACAAAAATTTTACAATAAAAAGGAGCATTTGGCCTACGGTTCACCACAAGATGAGGATATATCGAAACCTTATCCTTTGGATGCAAGTTTGCGTCGGGTAGTGGAAAACCCTCTTCATGTAGATACAACTGAGTTTCGGAAGCTTTATAGATCATCCTTAGATTTAATTAAAGATATTTTATAGCCGTTTAAAAGGCTGAAGAAACAGGTAAGTAATGAACTTTTTAAGTAAATTGGTTACTGGGATGTTATCAACGTCCTGCTGTAAAGCAATGATGAATATTTATGGGCCAATTGCCCCTAAATAGTTGTACTCTTCCCGTAATAGACGCAATCAACCGTACGATGTTTTCTGCAAAGATTAAATGACTCAAGACACAAATAGAGCAAGCTAAGATATATTTTGGTTTAGTGTCAGTCTCACTTTTTGTGGGACATTTTATGTGCATTCATAAAGGGTGATGTTTTAGCTACTATCTTTTGGGCAACACTAGTTTAAACAGCAGGCGCACGTTTCGTGTTTTTTATCACTNAGCAATTGGACCGAATGAATGAAGCAATTGCCCAGCAAGTGTCCAGTCTATACGGTGTATTCGACAACGCTTGATCAGTAGTTGCAATCAACTACTTTAAAATTCGCCATCGGCAAAAGATTTGTAACTTCTTAAGGTGCAAAAAAAGTGCGGTAGATCGGGAAATTACATAAGAAATATGAAAACAAAAATTTTACAATAAAAAGGAGCATTTGGCCTACGGTTCACCACAAGATGAGGATATATCGAAACCTTATCCTTTGGATGCAAGTTTGCGTCGGGTAGTGGAAAACCCTCTTCATGTAGATACAACTGAGTTTCGGAAGCTTTATAGATCATCCTTAGATTTAATTAAAGATATTTTATAGCCGTTTAAAAGGCTGAAGAAACAGGTAAGTAATGAACTTTTTAAGTAAATTGGTTACTGGGATGTTATCAACGTCCTGCTGTAAAGCAATGATGAATATTTATGGGCCAATTGTCCCTAAATAGTTGTACTCTTCCCGTAATAGACGCAATCAACCGTTCGATGTTTTCTGCAAAGATTAAATGACTCAAGACACAAATAGAGCAAGCTAAGATATATTTTGGTTTAGTGTCAGTCTCACTTTTTGTGGGACATTTTATGTGCATTCATAAAGGGTGATGTTTTAGCTACTATCTTTTGGGCAACACTAGTTTAAACAGCAGGCGCACGTTTCGTGTTTTTTATCACTGTCAAACATCTTCAGTATAATTTAACCACGAATCGTCTTACAAACGAACAACGCTTGCAAATTATTAAATTTGATTATCGAAATGCGTGCTCTGTTAAGAAAGTTCATCGCGGACTTCGAAGGCCGTTTTCGGCTTAAGGGTTTGTAAATAAGCGCAATTGTCGATTTTGGAGTGAAGATCTGCCAGAAGCATTGTAAGAGCTGCTGATGCTGCCAGAAAAAGTCTTAATTTGGTCCGGTTTATGGGCTGGTAGCATCATTGTACCGGACGTCTTAAAAGAGTTTGGGAATCGTAACGTAACTGTGAGATGATATCAAACTTTTTTTTGTCCAAAATTCAAGAGCTTGACTTGCAAGACATGTGCTTTCTACAAGACGGTGCCACATGCCACACAGTGCGCGTAACAATGGACTTATTGAGAGGCGAGTTCGATGAACATTTCATTCCACGTTCTGAACCGGTCAATTGGCCGCCTAGATCGTGCGATTTAACGCCTTCAAACTATTTTTTGTGGGGCTATGTTAAATCTACTGTCTATACAGACAAGCCCGCTTCAACTGACGATACCGGCCGAAATGTTGGAAAGAGTATGCCAAAATTGGATTAAGCGGATACCCCAATTTGAGGGGCAGTCACTGTCAACATTTGCATGAAATAATCTTCAAACCATTAACTAAATGGACCTTACTATCGATTCAAATTAAGATTTCAAGCATTTTTCTGAATTTTACGAGTTTCTTAAAAATTTTCCTATAGCTCTTAAAAAAATCACTCTTTGGAAATGTACTTGTAGGTAATTAAACTAAAAATTAAATTGTGTCAGCATTTGTGATTTCATCTGCTTGCGTACATACCGAATATTTCCGGTTGTTTTCGTCAATAAATTGAATACCTTATTTGCCACTTCAAAAATATATATATGTGTGTGTACATACATATACTACATACCTATAGAGTTTTCGAAATATTTATTGTTTAAAGGAGCTTAATGCGTTTTTAAAAATATACACATATGAGTGTATATATATATATATATATTCTGTCGAGGTAAAAAAATTTACTTTGGTATTAAAATTTACCATTTAGTAACTTTTGTTAGCATTTCGTATTCTGACTGTTAACCCTGTAAATTTTGTTACCAGCGAAATCGGAGGTGACAAAAATATCTGCTGTTTGATTTTGTTTTGTTAGTTTCAGAAANTTTAATTAGTCTCACATACATAGTAACACGAAGCAAAACCTACCACACACACGTAAATATATACATATATAAGTACAGTGATACATGTATATATGTATGTAAATAATTATTTTCGGTAATGCCATTCTTTGAAGAAGTTCAAGGTGGGTTTAGAGTTTAACACACACACACACACACTCGCATATAAATTGGCTTGAAACTTTCATTCATTTTTCGACTTAATAATCAGCAACTGATGACCGCGCAGTGTTATATATTTACATACATACTACATGCATACTTTTCAGTCTACTTTATGCTCAGTTCCTCACACGCATTTATTATTTGCCACTTTTCTGTTATTGTAGTTTTGATAGTTTTAGGCGTACAAGGCCATCATTTATTCATTCAACGCTCAAGTTCGCACAATATGTACATACGTACATACATAAGTGTGCATACAAGTTTTCATTCAATTTATGAAAAACGGAGTATTCCAATACTGGTTAATATATTTTA